ACCTTAAATTGTTAATAGGCTTCGTGCCTGCTGCAGCAATGCAAAAACCATGTTGTAATTAGGTTCTATGGCTGCCGCAGGCAATGCAAGAGTCTCATATTTGGTAATTAAGCACCATAACTATGATAGCAGTGCAAGGATCTCACGTTGTATTTAGGCTCCATGGATGCAATTGTATTGCAAAGATCCTATGTTATTATTAGAAAATAGTAGTTTATCGAATTAAAAAAAAAACAAAATTTAATAATACACAATAAAATTATATTTTATTTCTTTTTTTACTATCGTTTTGATTTCTTGACTTTAAGATTTTAATTTAAGCTAAAGTGTTGATCTTATTTATACACTGACTTTTTTATTATACGTCAGTTTAATTAAAATATATACAAAAATTATAATACTATAAAAAATAAAGAATTGAAACCGTATATACTTACCAGAGGTAAAATTCACCAAAAGTTCTATATTTCAAAAACGTACTAAGTAAATGGAATCGGGTATTCTAAGTAAAAATGTTCAGGACCCTCGAAAACTTTACAAGAACTAAAATTGGAACCTTATATCAAATCTACATTATGTTATATAAATTTCTCCTTTATCTTAAAACTGTCTAAAAATTCTTAGACTGGTGAGTTTCACCTCTGGTTAAATCTATATTATTTCAAAAATTTATAAAATTTAATAATTGCTAGGATATTTAAGCTTAAAGCCAAGAAAACTTTTACTTAGAAAAAATTTGTCCCTTTTCTATTGACTTCACCTCATACTGTATATTGTAATTATCAAAATAGTTAAGTATATACTGTACTGTTAACTGCAAAGGGACGTATACACCCATATGCACGTGACCGATATGTAATTGTTACACCGGAGCTTAGTTTAAACTAAGATTACGAGATTGAAGAAATTCAATTCCGAAATGGAAGCTGATAGCGACGACGAAATATACTCCAGAGATTCTCAGCAAAGTTCAGATGCTGAAGCAGGTGATCCTAGCCCCTATTCGGAAGGTACTTTTCAAAAAATGTCATTTCCCATTACTTCCATTACTTCTAAATACTTATTATGCGGCATTATGCTTTAGAGGAATATGGTCTCGATGAGACTTTACAACCTTTTAGCAATGCTACCCCGTCTATTTTGCCACCGAGTCGAAAATCGTTTGCGGAAGATTGTAAAACTTATGACATAGTTCCATTAGTAAGTTACTTTACCCTAACAACTGGCGCGCTTTATTTTATTTATTACTATTTCAAACTTTATTACATACAGGTCGCTGCTATCCACGCTTGTCACATACATTCACTTGACGCAACGAGGAATATGCGTTGGGTTTTTACTGGTGGCGAGGATGGATTTATAAGAAAATACGATTTTTTTTCTTCAATGTGTGGTAAAACTTTACTAACACAAAATCAAAAACATACACAAGTCGAATCTGTTCAAAAGGTGCGGTAGGTAAAGAAAAAAAAAAAAAATCAGGAATTAATAAACCGAATGTTTTAAATTATAATATCACTGAACTTTTATGTTTACATATATAGGCTGGTGTAATATCATCATATTGGGAGAATGAAGAAATACCAATATCTCCACCAGTTACAGCCAAGCCTGGTATGCATAGATGGATGTCTTAAAAGTGATATTTCCCACTTATTATATCAAAATCGTCATTTGTAGAAAAACCTGATGGTGTAGCAGAAGAAGATGCCACGCAAAATGTAGAGGAACCACCATTGCCGGATTTAAAAATGTCACCTGTTTATAGTTTAGCAGTACAGTCTGAAGCCGTTTGGTTATTAAGTGGTTTAGAGGTATGAGCTACAACGGTCAACGAGGTTATTTATAGAGATATTTAAATTCAGACAACTCATAAACTCAACAATGGGATCCCGAGATCACAAAATTCAAGCATTTTGGAATTCAGACAATTCAATATTTTGGCTCTAAAGTTGATTTTTTTTTAAAAAAATAAGAGGTATTGTACTATTGGTAACTTGTTAACTGGTTTATGGGTTGTTAGAATTTGGGTGTCATCAAGTGAAAACCGGGAAGTCTATATCTAGATTATTAAATAATCTATAATAATCTATTGTTTTGAAGTAGAGAGATATACCTCGTGCGAGATTACGAAACTACGAACCCGCTATTTGCTCGATATGATATGATACCTCATGCGAGATAAATTATTCGACTAAGAAAAATTTTAATATATATCCTAAGATTAATTCTTATGATTCGTGCGAGATTTGTAAAATGTATTACTAGGTTTATCTCGCATGAGATATATCTACTTCGAAGACAAAGTCGTTAACAACACAAGCAATTTTACTATGACGTTATTATTGAAGTTTTAATTCACGTATGATCTTAGAGCGGCGCTATCAATTTATTTACCGTTAGACACGAAGAAGGAAGGTGTCACCATGTTATGCGAAAACATAAACAACCTGTATCGGTTTTGAAAATAACTAGTGATGAGACGAGCTTTGTGAGTGGTTCATGGGATAAATCAATACTGGTATGTCTTTTGTATTATTTATTGTTTTGATGAACACACTTATATAAACTATGCGAATTATAGCATTGGGATCTCAACACTGGCCAAGTTGTGCGAGAGTATTCTGGTCATAGTTCCCAAATTAGTTCAATATCGTTTCGACCGATTACGCAATCATCATCATCTCAGGCATCAATACAAAGTTCTCCCACGTCACTCGAAACAGTGTTCGAAGAATCAGATAATACGATTATTAATTCTAGAGACATATTACTTACTACGAGCATTGATGGCAATTGCCTTGTATGGGATAAAAGGTCGGCAAATTTGATACCGAGGAAGTTACCACTTCCAGAAAAAACGCCTCCATGGTGTTTATCAGTATGTCTATTTATTCTAATATCATATTAAAATGCTTGTCTCTTTTAGTTAATATCGTAACTGAAAAAAAAAAAAAAAACTTGCTAAAACCGTAGGCTTGTTGGAGTGCTGATGGTAATAAAATTTACAGCGGACGACGTAATGGAACTGGTAAGCCTTTACTATTATTATTATTATTATTATTGTTATTATTCTCTACGTAGAGTAATCGTATTAACATTATAGTGGAATTCATGGCTAGTGGATGAATGGGATTTTGCTTCAGGAAAATTTATTCGTTCATTTAAAATGCCAAGTAACTCAGGTCCGGTATCTTGTGTGGCTAGCATGCCTAACGGTAAACATATCGTATGGTATGAGTCTTTTATTTTATATTGAACAATGTTATATTTTATTACTGTAATAAATATACATATTTTTTATATTATTACAGTGCATCAACAGATAATATAAGATTATGGAACGTTAACGACGATTCCGAGGGTATAAAATCAATTGTTCCATTTCTTATCATTCCAGGGCATCATGGTGGAACTATATCACAAATTTGTATCCTTTTGGTATATATATACGCGCAGGTTTAATTCATTACTAAATAATTTGATCCATAATTCAATTTATTTTAGTGATTGATCCAGATTGTCGATATATGATTACGACATCCGGAAATAGAGGATGGGAAGGGGCAAGCACTGAAACTGCTTTGTTTTACGAAATTATTCCGATTATGAAATAGAAATTTGGTGGTTTTCTAGTAATTGAATTACTTTCTTGGACGCATAAATTTATGCATTATTTGAGAATATATATATGGATTTTTGACTTGAAAATAACCTTATAATTACTATGTTCATAAGGTCATTTAAAGTAATTAAGATAATTTACAGTATTATATTTTATATAACTTATGGTCAAGTAATTTTTGTTATTTTGTTAAAAGTTATAAAAAAAAAATAATAGGTTAAGCATGATTACAATTTTTGATAAATACTTGGACTAATTAATAAAAATAAGGCAGATTAATATTTTAAAAAAAAAATCAATATTTTATTTTTGAAATTAATTAATATTTATCACAGGTGATTATCACTTGTGATTTACAAAAATAATTAATTTTTATCAAAACAAAAAATTAACATCTTTAAGATTAGGGTAAGGGTTAGATATTAAAGTTAAGGTTAGAGTTGGAATAGTGCTTTATATAGGATATAGTAAAATTTAGCAAGGAATTTTTTTGTTAGAGATTAAAAGGTGGTTTTGTAGACAAAATTTTAAGATATAAGTATTTTTTTAAAAAATTTAGTTTTTATTACACAAAATTAATTTACATGTTTTTAATTGGCAAATTAACTACAAGTAATAATCACCTGTGGTATAAATTAGAAATATTCTTTATTTTTTACAATTTATTGTATTTTGAAGCTATTTTAATAATATAGTAGTAAAAAAAAACTAAAAATCTAAACTTTTAACTATTAAATTATTTAAAATATTGCTAATTTATTTTTTTTAATATTACTAGAAAGTGTTATTAAAAAATATATAGTCTACCCTTGTTAATATCAACTTTGTTAATATTAACTTAAAGCTATAAGATGAATTTTTACAAATTATTATATATAAAAATTCCCTCATATATATCAACTTTATTATAATCCCTTGTTAATATCACTATCAATATGAATTTAAACTAATTCAAATAGGTTGATATAAA